CCTAGGGTATGAGTTCTCTGTCACCCCTAGGGTATGAGTTCTCTGTCACCCCTAGGGTATGAGTTCTCTGTCACCCCTAGGGTATGAGTTCTCTGTCATCCCTAGGGTATGATTTATCTGTCACCCCCTAGGATATGAGTTATCTGTCACCCCTAGGGTATGAATTCTCTGTCACCCCTAGGGTATGAGTTCTCTGTCACTCCTAGGGTATGAGTTCTCTGTCACCCCTAGGGTATGAGTTCTCTGTCACCCCTAGGATATGAGTTCTCTGTCATCCCTAGGGTATGATTTATCTGTCACCCCCTAGGATATGAGTTCTCTGTCACCCCTAGGGTATGAGTTCTCTGTCACCCCTAGGGTATGATTTCTCTGTCACTCCTAGGGTATGATTTCTCTGTCACCAGCTAAGGTATGATGTCTCTGTCACCCCTAGGGTATGATTTCTCTGTCACCCCTAGGGTATGAATTATCTGTCACCAGCTAAGGTATGATGTCTCTGTCACTCCTAGGGTATGATTTATCTGTCACCCCATAGGGTATGATTTCTCTGTCACCCCTAGGGTTTGAATTATCTGTCACCAGCTAAGGTATGATGTCTCTGTCACCCCTAGGGTATGATTTATCTGTCACTCCTAGGGTATGATTTTTCTGTCACCAGCTAAGGTATGATGTCTCTGTCACTCCTAGGGTATGAGTTCTCTGTCACCCCTAGGGTATGAGTTATCTGTCACTCCTAGGGTATGGTTTCCCTATCAATTCAATTCCATTCAAGTTTATTCCGGGGGCCTTACGACCCCTAAGGTATGACAGATTGCACGCAGAAACTATGACGTCACGGGAGCACGGGTGTGACGTCATAATCATATTTTGACGGGAGATGTCATGTGCAAACCAGAATAAAATAAATATTACAAATGCTGAACACTGTTATTTTATATACATGGTATTGGAATGATTGGAGAAAGAATATTCATCCCCTACCTTGAAAGTGTAACAGAGACATCTCCAACAATCGGGATAGACAACCAAATAAATCACCCCTTCGGTTGGAGATTTCTCTGTCACACCCTCAAGGTATGTGGAGATTTCTCTGTCACACCCTCAAGGTATGTGGAGCTTCTGTTAATCAATACGTGGATAGAAATCACAATGATGCTTGCATTCAAACTTCATATTACAGGATCGCAATGCTTTTAGATGACAAGTACGGGCATTATTGAATGTCAACTAGTTCATGTGTAATGTACCTTTTATCAGTTTGTACATTACCGAATTACTGAAAGCAGTTATTTACTTACAATCTTCTATGACATAATAAAAAACATAATAATATGGCGACAGCAAAAGTCAATTATAACGCAGTATATAGCCCTTCTATTGTGACGTCATAAAAATGATGACAACAACCATACGGCAAAATATTTATAGCGCTATGTTTGAGATTAGATTATTTATAAAGTGGCATGTAGATCTAATGCTCGAGTCCTAGCTATTTATAGGTCACAACATGTAGACGGCATCGAACAAAGACTCGCCATGCGTAATCATGAAAACAGACGTAATCGAACTAGGACTTATGTTTGTAACACGCATAAAAGAAAAAACAAACATTTATAAAAAGAGAGGAGTTTAGTTTTCGTTTGTGTTTTTTTTTTTTTTATTAAATTGCGTTGTGTTCTATTGGATCACATCAAAGTCCTGGTGAATGGTGCAACAGTATGGATACATTAAGTTGTCATAGGTTTATGCTGACTGCAATCCCCTGATCTGCCGTGCAGCATTGATGTCTCCAAGCTCTTAGTGAGTTGTCACGTGGTTTCTAACATGGCGAAAACACGTGACGTCCTCCGTCCACAAATAACAGCTGACCAGTAATAAATGAAGAGTCATTGGATGCAAGGAACTGAATCGCTTTGGCAACCTCTTCGGGGTCGCCAGCACCACCTAGTGGCTGAAGAGTTTTCTGGCGCTCAATGTACTGAAACAAACGGTGAATTATACATCAATTACGATGGAGTGAATGGTTAATGGCATATAACAGTATATCAAACGGTATATAGGGTTCTAACCGAGGACTGATCACACACGTTATATAGGGTTCTAGCCGAGGACTGATCACACACGTTATATAGAGGGTTCTAACCGAGGACTGATCACACACGTTATTTAGGGCTATAACCGAGGACTGATCACACACGGTTCATATGGTTCTAACCGAAGTCTGATCGCACACGCTATATAGGGTTCTAACCGAGGACTGATCACGCACGTTATATAGGGAGATAACCGAGGACTGATCACACACGGTTCATAGAGTTCTAACCGAGGACTGATCACACACGCTATATAGGGTTCTAACCGAGGACTGATCACGCACGTTATATAGGGAGATAACCGAGGACTGATCACACACGGTTCATAGAGTTCTAACCGAGGACTGATCACACACGTTATACAGGGTTATAACCGAGGACTGATCACGCACGTTATATAGGGTTATAACCGAGGACTGATCACACACGGTTCATATGGTTCTAACCGAGGACTGATCGCACACGCTATATAGAGTTCTAACCGAGGACTAATCACACACGTTATATAGGGCTATAACCGAGGACTGATCACACACATTATATAGGGTTCTAACCGAGGACTGATCACACACATTATATAGGGTTATAACCGAGGAGTGATCACCCACGGTTCATATGGTTCTAACCGAGGACTGATCACACACATTATATAGGGTTATAACCGAGGAGTGATCACCCACGGTTCATATGGTTCTAACCGAGGACTGATCACACACATTATATAGGGTTCTAACCGAGGACTGATGACACACATTATATAGGGTTATAACCGAGGACTGATCACACACATTATATAGGGTTATAACCGAGGACTGATCACACACGGCTCATAGGGTTCTAACTGAGGACTGATCACACACGTTATATAGGGTTATAACCTAGGACTGATCACGCCCGTTATAAAGGGTTACAACCGAGGACTGATCCCACACATTATATAGGGTTCTAGCCGAGGACTGATCTCACACGTTATATAGGGCTATAACCTAGGACTGATCACACAGTTATAACCGAGGACTGATGACACACATTATATAGGGTTCTAGCCGAGGACTGATCTCACACGTTATATAGGGGTATAACCTAGGACTGATCACACACCTCATATAGGGTTATAACCCTATATAATGAGCGTGATCAGTCCACGGTTATAACCCTTTATAACGTGTGTGATCACACACATTATATAGGGTTATAACCGAGGACTTATCACACACGCTACATATGGTTCTAACCGAGGACTGATCACACACGTTATATAGGGTTATAACCTAGGACTGATCACACACGTTATAAAGGGTTATAACCGTGGACTGATCACACACGTTATAAAGGGTTATAACCGAGGACTGATCACACACGTTATATAGGCTTATAACCGAGGACTGATCACACACGTTACATAGGGTTATAACCGCGGACTGATCACACAAGTTATATAGGGTTATAACCGAGGACTGATCACACACGTTACATAGGGTTATAACCGCGGACTGATCACACACGTTATATAGGGTTATAACCGAGGACGGATCACACACGTTATATAAGATTATAACCGAGGACTAATCACACACGTTACATACGGTTCTAACCGAGGACTGAGCTTTTGTTTTGTTGCTAACGTGGCCTTATAAAGGAAACTGAGCATGTATACAAATACTGGAGGCTCAATCCCAAACATCAGCAATCTAATACACAATCAGTATGGTATTGCCCTTCATTTCAAATATATGCTTTTGCATATTCATCATTTACAGTTGAAGTCACCTAATGACAGGACCTTACGTTAACGATTCCATTATAAAAAGATATCTATTCTCTTATGATTTCTTTTGTTTAGTTCTAAATACCTATAACATCGATTAAACTACGAAGATGATGTCTAAAACACCAACCTGAATATCCTACAATGAAGCTTTAACTAGCCCGGAATAACACCGGCCTAACTAAAATGCCCCTAAACACAAGTGACTAGTGTATATACATTATACATGGCTTATGTTAGCTAGATAGGTCACTATTTCAAAAACTTTATATTATTTTATTATAGATATATATGTAATTAATAAGTGTGATTATTATCTCATCAATTGTTGCCATGTCTGTGAGATGTACGATTGACGGGAAACGGTGCTGATAACATACATTTGTGCCGTACTTTATTGGTCAAGATAATCAGACATGATTAAATCAAATATAACTTTGTCGAAAAAAAACCGTTAAAAATAAAAGGTTAAAGAGCCTTAAATTTCATGAATTAATCAAATGAACAAAAAGACATTGCAAGAAATGCATGTACTTATATTATAGCAATTTGTGCAGAGACACGATGAATATAATTCGACTACTGTGAATGAACCAATTGGGCGACTTAACATTTAATATGCTATTTTTTAAGTGTGTCTAATGTACACAGCACTGTCAAAAGACTTGCATAAACAAAGTGATTTCAAGATGGCGTCTGTGTAGCCATATTGAATCTCGAATTGGCACGAACATAACTACAATGTACAATCCCATGCATTCATTATACTCTAAGTTTATAAGTTTATTCATATATTGATTCGATGGAATTAGAGCTTAGATTCAAAATGAATGTTTCATATTAAGCGGGGAAAAAAGGATTTTTGGTTGGAAGCTCATACAAAACATCTGTACTACGATTGTTGTCAATCGTTGCAGTTGTTCTTTCAGGAAATCGGTATTTTTTCTCCTTATAAGATGCCAGGTCGGACATCTTAGTTTTTCGGATTTGCAAGGGCAGTATCGCTACTTGGTAGTAACCTCATGAAATTCACTATACCGAGTTTTGAGTCTATTGATGTACTCGTTATTGAGAAGTCGATATTATCGTTCAATGAAATACCAAGGCGGTAATCTTCGAGTTTGATCGGCAGGAAAAGTACCCACACTTGGTCGGATTAATAAAGGGCACACATGTACCAGGTTTTAAATCAATAATGTTGTCGAATCAATTAATCTGATATACTTCTAAGTATCTTTTCTGCATGAGATTTTAACATAGGAAATATACAATATATATACTAAAACAATTGAACGTTCACAAACTAATGTTGACCAGTCGGCCACATTTTCTTTACTTTTCCGAAGAATCTGTCACGCATATGTTCCATCATATCAACCAGCGCTTCCTGTACAGAAAGAGCCAGTTCTACCTTCTCAGAAATACCCGTTCTGGAAATATGTCGACACTTGTTGTTTTTATTGCACGTCATCATTTATTTGTTTGACACACATGTACTGTAGCAATTGCACAGCCATCAGATCCAAATAAAGTATTTTGAAAGAGTTTTGCGAGATTACCTTCTCATATTTGTCATCAGCCATACCCGCATTCTTCTGGAAGTTGGTAACGATCACCCCGGGACTACAACACAAATAAAACCACGGGATTAATGCTGTGTTAACACACACATTCATACACCAATAACACACGATCACCTCGGGACTACAACACAAATAAAACCTCGGAATTAATGCTGTGTTAACACACACATTCATACACCAATATCACCGATCACCCCGGGACTACAACAAAAATAAAACCTCGAGATTAATGCTGTGTTAACACACACATTCATACAACAATATCACCCGATCACCCCGGGACTACAACACAAATAAAACCTCGGGATTAATGCTGTGTTAACACACACATTCATACAACAATATCACCCGATCACCCCGGGACTACAACACAAATAAAACCTCGAGATTAATGCTGTATTAACATACACATTCATACACCAATATCACCCGATCCCCCCGGGACTACATAAATAAACAAAACCTCGAGATTAATGCTGTGTTAACACTCACATTCATACACCAATATCACCCGATCACCCCGGGACTACAACACAAATAAAATCTCGGGAATAATGCTGTGTTAACACACACATTCATACTCAATAGTAACAAACAGTTACATTGGCTTGAAAATTTATGTTATCGCCGTTTGTAATGTCGCTTTTGATTGACTGATACAGCGGCGTAATAATTTCTAAGAGAAAAGAGTCCATCAATAAAAGTGGATTTCCACAGGGATTGTGTATAGTAGATTAGATTATAAGAATTAACTTGAATATATTTTTTATGTCATGGAGCTATAACACACAAAAAACCGGAGTGTACTCTCATTATAAACCGCCACGCGGATTATTTAGAGTACACGCCATTTTTTTGTGTGTGTCTCCATAACATAAAAATATATTCAAGTTAATCCTTAAATATCACCCGAAAATAGCAAATGTAAATTAACATTTAAGTTAATGACTAGACTTACAAAAACCAGAATGCAACTCATGTTACAAGAAAGCTTTATTAAATATTATGTATGTATATTACAGTATTATTGAGACTTTATACGCATGTCAGAGTTTTTTATGGGTACAGAAAAATGACAGAACCTTAAAACTATTAGTATTTAGGGAAAATATCACTCCGCCCAAACGTTTGAACTTCAATTCCAAAAAAGTTGATCAAAGATACGAGGACACGCACGTCCGTGCGCAATAAAATAATTGGATACCAGAATGGTCACTTAACACGGCAAACAATCAATGTGAACGTTATGGGGAAACAGAGACCATGTCGATTAAGGCGAAGATCCAAATGAAAGGCCATCTATCCATCCATTACACACAAGGAGAAACCACCCTGCAGAATTATCGCGACCATGTTATAGCGATTGTCATTAAATCCACAATAACGCTCCGAGTTATCCTCATACACCCTACTAGCAAAACAAGCGAAGAAAACGTCTCAAAATGCGTTTAGTGATGAAAGACTGCGACGCATAGTATACCGATGTTAGAGATAGGAAGAGACCCAAACTGAAGATGAAGGAGGCCCTTTTGATAAGCAGTAAATGTGTTAGTATTGAGACTAAAAGACCACAGATTCCCTCATAATCATGACCAGATACTGGTGCCGATTTTACTATTCAATAGCTATCTAGTACATTCTTAGCACTCAGGTATACGTATCGCACTAGTCATCAAAACGTCACAAACGAACAATTCACTGGTTGTGCTTTATGACCTATATACAGTTTGTTTCGATTAAATCAAAGACAATACATTGCCATTTGACTATACTTACTTGACGGAGTTTACGCGGACTTTCTTTTCCGCGAGATCTGTAACAAAAATAAATTAGTCAGATATCAGATAGTTATACTGACGTTATTTTACAGCGAGAGAAAGTTATCAAATGCTGACGGATACCTGCGACTAAGGCACGGGTAATATGACTGTACCAACTGTTACTTACCAACAGCTAAGGTCCTGGTGAGATGATCAAGTCCTGCCTTGGCCATGCAGTAGGCAATGGCGGTGGGGAACTGTGGAAACAACGCTTAATATGATCAAAGGGAGGTAAGTCTCATCCAATTCGCCAAGTTATGAAATATAATATTTGGTAAGACAATCGACTTTCATGTTTGCACTTTCCTGTGAAACGTTCTCATGGTAATGAGTGAGTAAATAAGACTTGCTGAATGTAAGATCCTTCCAGTTTCATGGAGTGTAAGGAATGACATTAGATTTGCTGACTTTGCCTTTAAAAGATTTCTTAATAAAGCACTCGCCGCATAATTACAGAGATTATGAGTATCATCATGATTGCACCACGTTTTACTTTATATTTATGAAGAATAGGAAACAAACCTCTACTAATTAAGACTAATTCTTTTTTGGCCTACTGTATGTATTACCAAATTGTATAGGAACAATCATGTGTACGTCTTACGTTCATCTGTCAAGAAACAAAAATGTTAGACTGTGATGTTGGCTACATTGGTTGCCACAGTAACCGCTTCGAGTAGTGGTACGGCTCATTATGTACACACTTTACTCATTGTCATCGAGGTTTTCCGTAACCTTGGTGGTCACAGTAACCTCTTCGAGTAGTGGTACGGCTCATTATGTACACACTTTACTCATTGTCATCGAGGTTTTCCGTAACCTTGGTGGTCACAGTAACCTCTTCGAGTAGTGGTACGGCTCATTATATACACACTTTACTCATTGTCATCGAGGTTTTCCGTAACCTTGGTGGTCACAGTAACCTCTTCGAGTAGTGGTACGGCTCATTATATACACACTTTACTCATTGTCATCGAGGTTTTCCGTAACCTTGGTGGTCACAGTAACCTCTTCGAGTAGTGGTACGGCTCATTATATACATACTTTACTCATTGTCATCGAGGTTTTCCGTAACCTTGGTGGTCACAGTAACCTCTTCGAGTAGTGGTACGGCTCATTATATACACACTTTACTCATTGTCATCGAGGTTTTCCGTAACCTTGGTGGTCACAGTAACCTCTTCGAGTAGTGGTACGGCTCATTATATACACACTTTACTCATTGTCATCGAGGTTTTCCGTAACCTTGGTGGTCACAGTAACCTCTTCGAGTAGTGGTACGGCTCATTATATACATACTTTACTCATTGTCATCGAGGTTTTCCGTAACCTTGGTGGTCACAGTAACCTATTCGAGTAGTGGTACGGCTCATTATATACATACTTTACTCATTGTCATCGAGGTTTTCCGTAACATTGGTGGTCACAGTAACCTATTCGAGCAGTGGTACGGCTCATTATATACACACTTTACTCATTGTCCTCGAGGTTTACGTTACCTTGGTGGTCACAGTAACCTATTCGAGCAGTGGTACGGCTCATTATTTACACACTTTACTCCTTGTCCTCGAGGTTTACGTTACCTTGGTGGTCACAGTAACCTCTTCGAGTAGTGGTACGGCTCATTATATACACACTTTACTCATTGTCATCGAGGTTTTCCGTAACCTTGGTGGTCACAGTAACCTATTCGAGTAATGGTACGACTCATTATATACACACTTTACTCATTGTTAATTTTAATTTAACCAGTACTCTCCTCATTTTTTGAATTTATATAGTTACTGATTCAACGGTAGTTGATATTCAATCTGTTTCGCCCCTAGTATCACTAATGATTCATAGTGGGACGAGACAGCTGTATGGTACAGTGTAATCACCTCCTTGTCAACAGAGATCCTATATGATGTTTGCTCAATAAAAGGAAAAGCCGAGAATATACTTTTTTCGTTGAAGAAGAGACAATGTTTATATTTTTGTTGAGTTCTACAAAAAACGAGGGCAAGGCTAACTTGTCAACGGATAGTACGGGCTAAAATATCTTTGTTCATGAAGAGGAGTGGAAGCTATCGTACATCTGTTAACATATACGGTAAGGTGGAAAGAGTAGGACTGTTGACAATGAGAACTATCATCTAGGTACCTATGTATAGAGCACGGACTGTGTCCTCGTTTGTTTACAGAGATAGGGACGAGAATGTACTCTGTTTAGGAAGTAAGAATTACATTGGGGTTGTTAATTTTTGAATACGTTTTGTGAATTTACAGCCTGAGGGGAGAAATACAAATAAAAGGGATTTGACCTGTTTGTTTGTTTGTTTGTTGGGCATGGTATCTGGTTAATAAGAGCTAAGCTCACGGGTGCCGAAGGCACCCGTGCGAAACTCTTTACCGATAACATGTGCGTGTAAATAGATCTGATCCAACCAAACTGATTCCATCACTGAATCGTACAGCTACAGCATAGAAACTTTTTCGTACTTCCGGTGACCTCTTCCGGTTTCATGGAGCCCGTAAATATGCCTAATCGAATAATAGAGCGACATGTTACGTAGCACAGAAATTATGTATTCGAAACTACGATTTTTTCAAAAAATATTGACCATATTCAAAATAATATTGACCATATTCAGAACACTGAGCGAGTTTATTTCCACGATTTCTTTACTTTTCTTCCGAATCGAGAAAATGAGTTAGCATGGTCATCAAAAAGCTTACATTAATGTAGTCTCGTTCAACCAGACTCTTACCGTCTGGGGTTGAACGAAACAAAAATTAATGTCACAAACACATAGCGTCGAAGGGTGCGTAATAATGTGATTATATTGTAAATTTGGGCAAGCAATAAATAATGTGATACTAACATCTTTCTTAACATACAATTTTCCGTCTGTTCACACAATCGACCGTAACACACGGATGTCATCCCCTACTAGGACGGAAATACCCGAGTATGTACGAAGCAGGGTCAGGGTCACTGAAGAGGTCGCTTGATTCTCATTGGATAATAAAAGGTCAGATCATTGATGAGGTCAAATTTCACGGGTCGTCTGCTGCAGTTGTACACAGATACACATGTGCAAAGGAATCACCGGCAGCTTTCAACGGGAAACGTAAGGTTTTTNGTTTCTAACATGTTAAACATATTGTTGTTCGGAATAAAATACAAATACATGCTTCATGGATTGGCATATATCAGCTCAAACCATTTGTTTTTAACATTCTGCCTACAACTCACATTATCATATTTTCCCTATGAAAATCTTTTTTTCTTTTAAATTACATCTGTTTCTTTTAAACTTATGGATAAAATTGATAATACATATTATTTTTATAATGAACATACATTATTACAGGGAGGGGATATATATACTAACTGGTATTCCTGGAATTTACTTTCAATTCATGGTCTAGTAGTACTGTACATACCAGTCAACTTCAAAATAACATNTAATGGTACATTTTATAATTGCATGCAACTGATTCGAGAGGCAGAGGTCTGCAATGCTACCAAGAAAGGTATCATCCACATTGGAATGTCGCATANAATGATATTGCCCAGCAACTGAACAGATTCCATTATTTTTATAAACCCAAGCACAGGTAAGACATTTTTTATGTATTAAAATGTATGTAATGATTCAAAAATTAAATGTATTGAAACAAATGGACAGTACGAACTTCGCTCTCTCCAGGCCATGCCTGAGTCATATTAATTTGGGAAGTTTAGGAAACAACTTATATATGTTGATGCAAATTAGGGTCAATAGTCTGTTATTTCAGGGAGAAAGTTGATGTTTAAAGTTGTTTACTTAGACTATATACTCTGTCACACCAGAGCTATTAGTGTATATAAGGTGACACGAAGTACTTGTATATCACCGGAATTATCAATGCATATTCCGTCTTTGCGTATTGCAGAGTTATCTTCTCTTGGGAGCAGCTATTGATTGTTACGTCATTGGTCTGTGTGAGAAAATTACGTCGTTTTCTCAAAAATTGATGACGTTATTCTCACAAACAAGTGACGTAACAATCAATACCTGCTCCCAAGAGAAGATAACTCTGCAATACGCAAAGACGGAATAGAGCAGGATCAGACTTACCGCTTTGGTGGACGATATACTAGATACGTTGACGATGTTACCTGGGAAGTGAACGAGTGTAATTACTATATTTAAAACAAATAAAGTATATAGTAGTCTTTTACAATTAATGAAATATATAGTAGTCTTTTAAAATTAATGAAATATATAGATAAGATGTCTGTTACAATTAATGAAATATATAGAAGACTGTTACAATCAGTAACCTAGGGATGTAGTCCTTGCAAGTAGGGCGTAAGAATTGTACCTGCTGCCCCCATTGCATGATCTTAAGAGGCGACTAAATTTGGGATCTTATCTTTTCTCTTCTTTCTAAACATTTTTTTTCTTCCTAATGTCTCCCTTTACAATGCCTCACTTTTGGCCTTTAGTTGAGTGTTCGCTCCTGTGAGGAAGGCTTTGAGTTCTGTCCCCTGCCCGAGACAATTTAAGAGTGGGACGACTGGTTCGCCCGTTGTCAGTATAATGTGACCGGGTGGGGTGTCCTGCTGGTTGTCTTCGGCAGCATATTTCAGTGAGGTAGCACTATAAAGTCGGCATCAGTTCCGCGCTATCACAAGGAGACAAACACGAACATATCGCAGCCTCCCAAAACACACACGCATACACTACACGCATGCATCTTGCATACAGGGGAGGCCGTCATTAAATGATCATAGCTGTTTATAGGACGTTAAATAATACTAAACCAAACCAAACACTAGGGGTGTGGCCAGACCTCATGGTCAACTTTAATACCATGGCTATATTCATCTGCCCAGCAATGGTATATATGGCTAAAGGGTGGAGAACTCAACAGATTCAAATTGATAACTAAGGAAAACTGGGATTGGCCAGACTGCAAAGTCAATTGTACTATCTTTATTTTATGTTTCGCTTTGTGCTTAGCCATTGTTTACATGGTTATGGGATGGGAATTTCAACCGTTTAAAAGTAGTGACCAAGTGACTTAGTCTCCATGGGTGGGGCCAGACCCCGGAGCCATTCTGGTAGAATATGTGCATTTGAGTCTATATACTCAGCAACTATATATATGGTAATAGGTTGGGGATGCCATCGGCCCTCTGAGGGGTTAGTCCTTCAACTATCCTAATTTGAATCCCTACCACCTAATAATGGTTCTAACCAAATATGGTTGATATCCATATGGCCAAATTATCCCTTTTTGGCCCCTCATTCAGACCCTCCATTTGTACAATCCTGAATCCCCACCACCCAAGAATGATTTAAACCTAATATCATCGATATACAATCCTAAGTTCCAGAGAGGAAGTGTCTAAAATTAATATGACCAAATAGCCCTTTTTTGCCCGGCCCTTTACCTCCTTGGAGGTCAGCAACTCCATTTGTACAATTTTGAATCTCCATCACCTAACAATGATTCCAGCCAAATATGGCTGATATCTATCTCTTCGTTTTAGAGAAAAAGTGGTTTAATGCAATATGGCCAATCACACCCTTTTGGCCCCGCCATTCAGGGGCGGGGCGAGTCAGCCCCTCCATTTGTATAATTTATAACCTTGGAATAATTCCCGTCAAATTTGGTCAAATTCCAATCGGCTGTTATGAAGAAGAAGTCGTTTGAAGAAATTGTTGACGGACGAACGACGGATACCACGGTACGGCGTATTGAGCTTAGGTCCTTCGGACCAGGTGAGCTAAACAAACTAGAAATTATACTAATCTGCTACAAATAAAGCAGGAATGTTACTAGGCTGTTACAAATAACCTTTACGTTAACTTTATTTTACAATTAAACTTTATTGTTAGTACAGTAGTCTGTCACAAAAACCTTGAAATGTTACTAGTATATTACAGAAAAACTTAAAATGCAACTTACTTGTCTGTCACAAATAAACTAAAAATGTTACTAGTCTTTTCGAATAAACTAGGACTGTTGCTAGTCTGTGACAAATAAATTAGTCAACTAGAAATGTTACTAGTCTGTTACAAATATACCAGGAATGTTACTAGTCTGTTTCAGATAAATTAGAAAGTACTGTACTGTTTTCAGAAGAAAAAACAAACTTGAAATATAAACAAATGTTTGTCAAAGGTAAACTAGAAATGTGAATTAGTCTGTTAGAAATACACACCTACCTTTGCAATTGAAATAAGCATATCGTGTACAATTGTCCAGAGATGATGAAGGACAACCCCTGGAGTTTTACACGAGTTTCACCTGATGTTTGATGACGTGGGTAATCATACCTTGTGTTTTGATCAAATGCGGTATACACAGTTGACTGAGGTAGAAAGGCGCCCGTAAATTGGTCCTCACGGTCTGATCAAACATGTCTAAAGTCGTGTCCATGATTGACCGGTACACACTGCTTCCTGCGTTGTTAACCTACAAAAGAAGAGATTGGTCTCTCACATTGCTTGATAATATAGCTCGACCAATGTGTAACCTTTACAGAATTTGGGGCTAGGAGACAATATAACCCGACCAATGCGTAACCTTTACAGAAATTGGGGCTAGGAGACAATATAACTCGACCAATGTAAAAACTTTACAGAAATTGGGGCTTGGAGACAATATAACTCGACCAATATGTAACCTTTACAGAATTTGGGGCTAGGAGACAATATAACCCGACCAATATGTAACCTTTACAGAAATTGGGGCTAGGAGACAATATAACTCGACCAATGTGTAACCCTTACAGAATTTGGGGCTAGGAGACAATATAACTCGACCAATGTAAAAACTTTACAGAAATTGGGGCTTGGAGACAATATAACTCGACCAATGTGTAACCTTTACAGAAATTGGGGCTAGGAGACAATATAACTCGACCAATGTAAAACCTTTACAGAAATTGGGGCTTGGAGACAATATAACTCGACCAATGTGTAACCTTTACAGAATTTGGGGCTAGGAGACAATATAACCCGACCAATGTGTAACCTTTACAGAAATGGGGGCCAGAAGACAATATTACTTGACCAATGTGTAACCTTTACAGAAATTGGGGCTAGGAGACATTATAACTCGACCAATGTGTAACCTTTACAGAAATTGGGACTAGGAGACAATATAACTCGACCAATGTGTAACCTAAATTGGGGCTAGGAGACAATATAACTCGACCAATGGGTAACTTTACAGAAATTGGGGCTAGGAGACAATATAATTGGACGAATGGGTAACTTTACAGAAATTGGGGCTAGGAGACAATATAACTCGGCCAATGTGTAACCTTTACAGAAATGGGGGCTAGAAGACAATATAACTCGACCAATGTGTAACCTTTACAGAAATTGGGGCTAGCAGACAATATAACTCGACCAATGTGTAACCTTTACGGAAATTGGGGCTAGGAGACAATATAACTCGACCAATATGTACCCTTTACAGAATTTGGGGCTAGCAGACAATATAACGCGACCAATGTGTAACCTAGATTGGGGCTAGGAGACGATATAACTCGACCAATGGGTAACTTTACAGAAATTGGGACTAGGAGACAATATAACTCGCCCAATGTGTAACCTTTTCAGAATTTGGGGCTAGCAGACAATATAACGCGACCAATGTGTAACATTTACAGAAATTGGGACTAGGTGTCTATAAATCACGACCAATGTGTAACATTTACAGAAATTGGGACTAGGTGTCTATAAATCACGACCAATGTGTAACCCTTACAGAAATTGGGGCTAGTAGACAATATAACTCGTCCAATGTGTAACCTTTATAGAATTTGGGGCTAGGGGACAATATAACTCGACCAATATATAACCTTTACAGAAATGGGGGCTAGAAGACAATATCTCGTGACCAATGTGTAACCCTTACAGAAATTGGGGCTTGGAGACAATATAACTAGACCAATGTGTAACCCTTACAGAAATTGGGGCTAGGATACGATATAACTCGACCAAAGTGAAACCTTTATAGAAATTGGGACTAGGTGTCTATAAATCACGACCAATGTGTAACCTCTACAGAAATTGGGGCTAGCAGACAATATAACTCGCCCAATGTGTAACCTTTTCAGAATTTGGGGCTAGCAGACAATAAAACCCGACCAATGTGTAACATTTACAGAAATTGGGACTAGGAGACAATATACCTCGACCAATGTGTAGCCTTTACAGAAATTGTGGATAGGAGACAATATAACCCGACCAATGTGTAACATTTACAGAAATTGGGTCTAGGAGACAATATACCTCGACCAATGTGTATCCTTTACGGAAATTGGGCCTAGGAGACAATATACCACGACGAATGTGTAACCTAAATTGGGGCTAGGATACGATATAACTCGACCAATATATAACCTTTACAGAAATGGGGGCTGGAAGACAATATAACTCGACCACTGTGTAACCTTTACAGAAATGGGGGCTGGAAGACAATATAACTCGTCCAATGTGTAACCTTTATAGAATTTGGGGCTAGCAGACAATAAAACCCGACCAATGTGTAACCTTTACAAAAATTGGGGCTACGAGAAAATATAACTCGACCACTGTGTAACCTTTACATAATTTGGGGCTAGGAGACGATATAACTCGACCAAAGTGTAACCTTTACAGAAATGGGGGCTAGAAGACAATATCTCGTGACCAATGTGTAACCCTTACAGAAATTGGGGCTTGGAGACAATATAACTAGACCAATGTGTAACCTTTAAATAATTTGGGGCTAGGAGACAAAATAACTCGACCAAAGTGAAACCTTTATAGAAATTGGGGCTAGCAGACAATATAACTCGACCAGTGTGTAACCATTACAGAAATGGGGGCTAGAAGACAATATAACTCGTCCAATGTGTAACCTTTACGGAAATTGGGCCTAGGAGACAATATAATTCGACCAATGTGTAAGCTTTACAGAAATTGGGACTAGGTGTCTATAAATCACGACCAATGTGTAACCTTTAAATAATTTGGGGCTAGGAGACGATATAACTCGACCAAAGTGTAACCTTTACAGAAATGGGGGCTAGAAGACAATATAACTCGGCCAATATGTAACCTTTACATTGGGGCTTGGAGACAATATAACTTGACCAATGTGTACAGCTACAGAGATTCTGGCTATGTATAACATGATATCGGAGACAATATAACTTGACCAATGTGTAACCCTTACAGAAATTGGGGCTTGGAGACAATATAACTAGACCAATGTGTAACCCTTACAGAAATTGGGGCTAGTAGACAATATAACTCGTCCAATGCGTAACATTTACAGAAATTGGGGCTTGGAGACAATATAACTTGACCAATGTGTTACCTTTACAGAAATTTGGGCTAGGAGACAATAAAACTCGACCAATGTGTTACCTTTACAGAAATTGTGGATAGGAGACAATATAATTCGACCAATGTGTAAGCTTTACAGAAATTGGGTCTAGCAGACAATATAACTCGGCCAATGTGTAACCTTTAAATAATTTGGGGCTAGGAGACGATATAACTCGACCAATGCGCAACCTTTACAGAAATTTGGGCTAGGAGACAATTTTACTCGACCAATGTGTAGCCTTTACAGAAATTTGGGCTAGGAGACAATTTTACTCGACCAATGTGTTACCTTTACAGAAATTTGGGCTAGGAGACAATAAAACTCGACCAATGTGTTACCTTTACAGAAATTGGGGCTAGTAGACAATATAACTCGACCAGTGTGTAACCATTACAGAAATGGGGGCTAGAAGACAATATAACTCGCCCAATGTGTAACCTTTAAATAATTTGGGGCTAGGAGACATTAGAACTCGACCAATGTGCAACCGAGACAAAAATTGGGGCTAAGAGACAATAGAACTCGACCAATGTGTGACCTTTACAGAAATTTGGGCTAGGAGACAATATTACTTGACCAATGTGTACAGCTACAGAGATTTTGGCTATGTATAACATGATATCGGAGACAATATAAATCGACCAATGAGTAACCTTTACAAGGGTTGTAGCTATGTAACCTGATATTGGAGACAGTATCACTCGTATAGACATAGAACCACTTTTTTTTGTATATATTTACGAGGTTGACATCAGCCACGTGCCGAAACACTTGGTGAGATTGGCTGGAAGCGCAGTTTTTTCCCCCCCCCCCCCCCCGCCCTAATATAACCAGCCAATCAATACATGTTTCGGCACATGACTGACGTCAACCTCATGAATATGCAAAAAGTGGCCCTATGACTGGGAAATACTTTTAAACTCGGACATGGCGTCTGTTTTGAAGGAAATGGAGATCATGTCCGAGGAAGCAGAATCCATTTTACGTGCATGGAGGAGGTTTTTAAAAGAACAATTCTCCATCCTTACAACGGTACTAAGCATGTTTTGTACATTTACTAAAAATGTGGTTTTTGATGCCAGAAAGTTAGGTGAGGTCGACATTTTGAGCTTTTCTTCCTTCTCGTATATTATCATCATTTGGGTGGCATTTTTACCGAGAATTGATTTAAACTCCCACACGTGTAAAATTACTCTAAATACCTTAAGTTAAGTTCAAATCTAATTAGCATGCTCCTGTTGGTATAACGTGGTTTTGTACACGTAATTGTTCCTGGCTACGAATGATTACAGCTAGGTAGAACAACACATAATATTTATAAAACACAAGAATACATTATCTGGTGGACAGCACAGATTAATCGTCCAAACACACATTACTATTTTATTCTGGTTCCATTCAATCAGCAAACTAGATGAAAAATATCTATGAAAGCATTTTACTTATTGTAGATCATTGTTCCTTTAATAAAGAACATTGTTTCTTTAATGAAGAACATGGTTTCTTTAATGTAGAACACTGTTCCTTTAATGAAGAACATTGTTCCTTTAATGTAGAACAATGTTCCTTTAATAAAGAACAGTGTTACTTTAATGTAGAACACTGTTCCTTTAATGAAGAATATTGTTCCTTTAATGTAGAACACTGTTCCTTTAATGAAGAACATTGTTCCTTTAATGTAGAACATTGTCATTATAACGCTGTAACTTATCTTTGTTACTGTTATTAAATATATGGAATGAAGCAAATAAGATATAACACTGCCGCTACTGACCAGTACATCAATTTGTCCAAACTTGGAGAGAGTCTGATCCACAAGGTTCCGGAGGTCACTTTCCTTGTCTACGTCACATTGAACAACCAAAACCTGTAAAGAAATATCAGACGTTCAATATCCCTCTATACATAGACACAGTCAAACTTCGATGTTTCGGGACTTCGACTCACGAAAATTGAACATCGACCATCGATATCGTGCACATAAAGCAGATTGTGATTCTTATGTGACGAAACACAAGCTAAGCAATTTAATTTTAAAGTATAGATATACCTTGACAGAAATAACAATAGTTTGTTTTATCAACACACTGTGGTTTGCATTGTGATCTTATTAAATTTATTTTTTTCGTTTGTCAAATAACTTAACGAAGTCTGTACCCTGTGTTGATGTGGTCCATCACGTGCGCCATGAATTGCCGGGAGTGATTCCCGTTGGCCGTTTGTTTTCGAGAATTGTTTTTATATGACAATCGATTTTATTAAAAATCACAGAATTCAATTAATAACATCATCAACCAATGAACATACAGCTTATTGTCCCATGGCCCGAGACCTGAATTCCGCGAAGTGGACCATTTAAGTAAACCATTTTCTTTGACAAAAGCCTATGTTTACGATTGAAAAGCACTTCCGGTGAATGTATCTTACGGAATGTTCAGCATTATATTGATTATCACTTTGCGTCATAAATACGTAACACTGATGTTTTAAGAAACCAATACTGAATTTATCAGTGTCGGTTTATTACCGGGAAATAATTGATACCGGGTTGTGTCAGCATGGTCGCCAGTCCTTTTCACTGGGGACCGAAACATGTCCGTGAAGGTGTAAAAATGACCGCGGGACATTTCATTGATCTCATACAGGTACAGTTTTTACTTCGATTTATTAGTGGTAATTTAGACTGTGTTCATAGCGAACGGGCCTAGATTATACTTCGAAACAGCGAGAAATTCGACTCATAAAAGTTCGATTCATGAATAATATATTATTAGTGTTATATAAGGGAAAATATCCGGCCTTTGCCGTAAGTTTGACACATTGAGAAATTCGAATCTTTGAAGTTCGATTTATAGAGGTTTGACTGTAGATATCTTATATACACAGGACTTCTAACACCTCTATATAAGAGCTATATTACACCCATTACTTGCCCTGTCCTGTGTGTTATACGCAAACATCTCTATATAAGAGCTATATTACACCCATTACTTGCACTGTCCGGTGTGTTATACGCAGACATCTCTATAAAAGAGCTATATTACACCCATTACTTGCCCTGTCCGGTGTGTTATACGCAGACATCTCTATATAAGAGCTATATTACACCCATTACTTGCCCTGTCCTGTGTGTTATACGCAAACATCTCTATATAAGAGCTATATTGCACCCATTACTTGCCCTGTCCGGTGTGTTATACGCAAACATCTCTATATAAGAGCTATATTACACCCATTACTTGCCCTGTCCAGTGTGTTATACGCTAACATCTCTATATAAGAGCTATATTACACCCATTACTTGCCCTGTCCGGTGTGTTATACGCAGACATCTCTATATAAGAGCTGTATTACACCCATTACTTGCCCTGTCCGGTGACATCTCTATATAAGAGCTGTATTACACCCATTACTTGCCCTGTCCGGTGACACCTCTATATAAGAGCTGTATCACACCCATTTATTGCCCTGTCCGGTGTGTTATACGCAGACATCTCTATATAAGAGCTATATTACACCCATTACTTGCCCTGTCCGGTGTGTTATACGCACACATCTCTATATAAGAGCTGTATTGAGGAGAATCAACTGGCAGTTATAACTGTGGGACACAAATTATTTAGCAAATATAAGTGATGTACATTTCTGTTATTGTTTACAATTGTTAAGTGTCTTCTTAAACACCAAAATGTATCATTATGTATGGATGTGTTAAACCATGGTGATTATCTGATATTATAACACGTTATAACAAGAGTCAGTAAATATGAATTTTAAAACACTGAGGTGCGTATTTCACGCTTTTAAAACAATATCTCGTCAAAAGGCTCGGTGCAGACGACTTTGTTTCTCTGGATGATCTGAAAGCGCAAGATCTGACAAATGCGAATCAAACCTTAGTAGTGCACCTATATAAGGCGTTCGGACAGGAAGCGCCATTACCACCAATGTATACCATACATAGACACACGTTGTTTGTTTTTGAAAAGAGAGGGTACGAGGATGTGCTACAGAATCTGCCCTGGAACAAGTACATCAAAGGATGTGTCTGCAAGGCGACATTGACCACTGGCTTCCTCAGTACTCCACGAATAAAGGGCAACATCATGCAGCATCATTTTCCGATCTACACCACGCCACCATTGTTGCATCACATATAATAAAAGTCCTAGCGACGTGCAACCATTGTAAGATTAAACGAAGACCATTAGAAAGGGACAAGTTAAACTGAGTAAATGTAACGTTCTCAAAGTGAGAATCCGGGAAGTGGTAGTGAACGAGCCAATGAATTGATAAAGATAGTCATCAATTAACGATTTCATTACACATTCTTTGTTTTATATTGTACACACAAAATTACATCCATTATTTGACCTGTCCGGTGTGTTGTACACACAAAATTACACCCATTACTTGCCTTGTCCGGTGTGTTTTACACACATAATTACACCCATTACTTGCCCTGTCCAGTGTGTTGTACACACATAATTACACCCCTTACTTGCCCTGTCCGGTGTGTTGTACACACATAACTACACCCATTACTTGCCCTTGTCCGGTGTGTGGTACACACATAATTACACCCATTACTTGACCTGTCCGATGTGTTGTACACACATAATTACACCCATTACCTACTCTGTCCGGTGTGTTGTACACACATAATTACACCCATTATCTGCCCTGTCCGGTGTGTTGTACACACATAATTTCACCCATTACCTGCCCTGTCCGGTGTGTTGTACACACCTAATTACACCCATTACTTGCCCTTGTCCGGTGTGTGGTACACACATAATTACACCCATTACTTGACCTGTACGGTGAGTTGTACATGCATAATTACACCCATTACTTGCCTTTTCCGGTGTGTTGTACACACATAATTACACCCATTTCTTGCCCTTGTCCGGTGTGTTGTACACACATAATTACACCATTACTTGCCTTGTCCGGTGTGTTGTACACACATAATTACACTCATTACTTGCCCTGTCCGGTGGGTTGTACACACATAATTACACCCATTACTTGACCTGTACGATGTGTTGTACACACATAATTGCACCCATTACTTGACCTGTACGATGTGTTGTTCACACATAATTACTCCCATTACCTGCCCTGTACGGTGTGTTGTACACACATAATTACACCCATTATCTGCCCTGTCCGGTGTGTTGTACACACATAATCACACCCATTACTTGCCCTGTCCGTTGTGTTGTACATTCATAATTACACCCATTACTTGCCTTGTCCGGTGTGTTGTACACACATAATCACACCCATTACTTGCCCTGTCCGTTGTGTTGTACATTCATAATTACACCCATTACTTGCCCTGTCCCTATATAAGAGCTATATTACACCCATTACTTGCCCTGTCCGGTGTGTTATACGCACACATCTCTATATAAGAGCTGTATTACACCCATTACTTGCCCTGTCCGGTGTGTTATACGCACACATCTCTATATAAGAGCTGTATTACACCCATTACTTGCCCTGTCCGGTGACATCTCTATATAAGAGCTATATTACACCCATTACTTGCCCGGTCCGGTGTGTTATACGCTAACATCTCTATATAAGAGCTATATTACACCCATTACTTGCCCTGTCCGGTGTGTTGTACACACATAATTACACCCATTACTTGCCCTGTCCGTTGTGTTGTACATTCATAATTACACCCATTACTTGCCCTGTCCGGTGAGAGTCCTTTATCTTGGCACTGCTTGGCTACCTTGTCTAAGTTGTTTACATTGCGAGAGGTCAGCACCAACTTAGGGTTATATTGGGACAATAGCACACATGTGCTAGCACCAATACCGGAACTGGCACCTGATAAAACGAATCAGTTAAATTTTCATTAATATGAATTTGACATACATTAGTTAACTACACTATAAATCGGTATACCATTGATATAGTCAGTGTATATTCAGTTATGTATAACAT